CTGTTTGCTTTTTGCTGTGTTCTAGTGGTTTGGCAATAGATTAGAGGTTGGGTTTCCACCATTTGGTACTAATTATCTAGGAACAATCTGATTTCCATTTATTACATTCACATGGCAGTGCTGCCTGTATTTATATCAGAAAAAAAAAGGGGGGGGTTTATTCTGCCCTCCTAGCCTCATGAATGCCCCCAGAAGATTGTTCCATTATAAGATGTGGGCATAGCAAGTTAAATCAGATTGTTCCTCTTGATTCTTGTATCTGGATGCTTACATTTTACTTTTCTGGCTATAGATGCTTTTAACCAAATCAGACTATTGCCAGGAAGTTAAATGAATAAAATTGTAGTCCTTAGAAGTACTGGACTTTCTATTGCTGAGTAAAATAAATGTCTCCCTTTCAATTAAACCAAGTGTTTGTTACTGGATAAAATTCTACCTTTACATAATCAACTGTGTGGCCGCTGATTAGACTTGATAGGGCAATTATAACCTAAAATGTGTATTTCATTGTGGGTAAACAAAAGTGCCTATTTATCTTCCTCTAGTGTTTTCTCGACTGTTACTGAAATCAAGATGGGCAAGAGCAGATTGTGAAAACTCTCAGTTACACAACAAGCCAAATGTGAATCTTTAAACAAAGGCATAAATTTTAAACATGACATTGATTCAAGAACATTTGCTGCCTACAAAAAATGATTACCGGTTCACGGCTTCATTTTCATAATTGTTACTTGCAAAAAAAGACGATCCTGAAGAAGTAAACTCTGTCTAATGGGAAGAAAAATATATTCTGTTCCAATTCTGACCATGAGTACCTGATCAAATCATTTAATTTCGTGTTGCAGTTTTCCTCTTTGGATATGCAGACAATCCTATCCATTTAACTTGTGGCATTCTTGGAAGAACAAATAAGATAATAGGTCTTACAAGTAAGAGACCAATATAACCAAACTGTGAATCTAGAAATCTGAAAAAATGCATTCATGATGCTATAAATTCTAAACTGGAAGTTATTACTTTTAAAACTTACTGGTTAAAAAGTGATGTCGTAAATGTAACGTGATAGTGAGCTTTGAGAATGTGAATCAGCACGGCAGCATAGAAAGATTTGCCAGAATGTTTTGCATCACCATTGTATTTTCTCATCTAGTTTTATTTGTAATCTACCAGTTTTCAACTAGAAAAAGTTAGACATCATATTTCAAATATAAATTTAAATAATTTAAGTAATTTACTTTGTAAATTTAATTCTAAGTAGAGTTTTTTAAATAATTATGATAAATCGTATTTTCATCTTAAAGTTGTGTGTTTTACATTTTAAAAGGGTATTTGGATATTTATATTACCAAAACAATTAACAGCATAAAATAAAATTGGTATCATTCTAATATTTCTGTAGATATTACCAAAGAACTGTTTAATGCAATTTGTTTATTGTTGTTTGAGTGTATTTGACATTTACTGAGAATTCAAACCCTTTTATAACACTTCATCATTGCTGTCATATTTAGAAAAGACTAAGGCTGAAATACTCACCATGGCCTGAATGTCCCAAGCCACTACTTCCTCAAAGAGCAAGCTACAAAACCATGACAATGAATCTCAAATATGGGCATTTGTTGTTTTTTTTTCCTGTTTTTTTTTTTTTTTTTTTTAAGAGAGAGAGAGGAGGGGCAGAGGGAGAGAGAGAATCCCAAGTAGGCTCCAGGCCCGGCATGGAGCCTGGTGCAGGGCTCGATCTCACAACCCTGAGATCATGACCTGAGCTGAAATTAAGAGTCGGATGCCTAACAAGTAAGACACCCAGGTGCCCCTGGGCACTCATTATTAATAGGCCTTAAGAACCTAACAATGTCTGCGTAATTAACATGTAATGGTTGAACATAGAACTCCTTGTTCCCTTAGAATGGGATCACGTCTTGTGCACCTTCATAAAGACCAGAGCACTTGGAATTATGAGCATAAAGGACTAAACCGTGGTGCCATGAATGTAGGAGAGTCCAGAAATTTTGGTTTTTAGCCATCTGTCAAAATACTGACAGAATACACAAAAATACCAAGCTCTTCTATGTATTTAATTTCTTAAAAAATAAATATCCTCAACCAGTTAAAAATGGCAGCTTAAAAAATGACTAGCTCCTGACCGCCTAAATTTAGAAACACCACTCAAAATATTTAACAGATGTAATAATTAATTCCTTGACTTGAATAATTTCTTTTTTTTAAATTATTTTATTGTTATGTTAATCACCATACATTACATCATTAATTTTTGATGTAGTGTTCCATGATTCATTGACCTGAATCATTTCTAAGTTAGGAATCACAAACTCAGACATCAGCAGAGCCCAGGCTGTGACATAAATATGTAATGGATGTGTGGTGGTGGTGATGAATTGGAGAGCATATACCCAACTTAAAAGGCACAACAGTTACTACCAGTTATTTTCATGCAAGTCTGTGGGCCCACTTTCTAGATTTCGTAATTTCTCAAGAAAAGCTCCAGATTTTAATGTGCAGTCTCTTAACATTACCTGCAAGCAATTGATTTCAATATATCAAAAGATCTGTGTGACCCGAGCAACAAATGCCAGTTGACCAAATCTACATTACTGATGACCCAAAGGAAACCTGGGGTGGTTAGTGTTAGAGTCTTTAACTTTAGATACTGCAACTATTTATAGATATCCAAGCCTTGCCATTTTGGAAGTGAAAATACCTCTTAAGTGGAGTATTTAAAAACTTGATTATTTTCATATTACATACATTCTTCATCTGTATAAGTATACATTCTCAGAGTAAGTAGAAGGCATAGTATTAGCACTATCATAAAATACTAGAGCACTTATAAGTTAGCTTATTTTGGCCCTCAGTTTGTTTTGAGGCATCTGGTTAAGATTTTTGGGCTAATATAAGCCATATAATAATATAGAGTACTTTCATTTATGTTTTAAACCAGATGATACCAAGGACAACTTCCACATAAAATCATGTTTCACTCACTATAAACATTCTTATCAATTTATAGTTTAAGTTTAAAAGTTGCTCTAGTATAAATTAGGCAATAAATATACATTGACATTTTATTATATGTCTAGTATTTTGATGTGTTATATAGCTTTTAGAAAATACTTCTTTTAGATAAAGTTTAGAAAAATTTTGTGCACAAGGAACTTACAGTTCTCACTTAAAATTAAGTAGAAGGTGGCCACCAATCACAAAATTATACAGTAAACTGCGTAGATTATAAAATAGAATTTAAAATCATGTGTATACAGGCATGCATGTATACATATCTGCAGATAGATCACTATGGAGAGCAATAGGGGAAACAGTAATTATATAACTGTATATACATGTTAATAGAGTGGTAAATTATATAACTCAGACCATCAGGGATTTTGCTTCCACACTAAACCCTTCCCTCAACTTAAATCTCTCACTTCACCCTGCCTTATTTTCCCCTCAGCTTTGAGAAATGTGCAAAGAGGTGACTCAGCTTAAAAACTTCCTTCAAATTTGTGGGTTCTCCTAACTATCATTTTGGTTATTACCTTTCACTGTGAGGTTATCAAAAGCCAATTTGTGTTGGCTGCCTCAAAATCCTGTTAGTGCTTAAAAATCCCTGAAGTGTGACCTGTAGTTGAGAAGTGCCGCGCCAGGGCCAATCCTGTCAGGCTCTATCATGGGCAATTACAAAAGCTTCACCTGCCAAGCCCCCCGGGGGGGAAACTGCCCTCCCCCCACCAGGTACAGTGCACAGTATGGAGGAGTTGCAGTCAAGGACTCAGCCCCTCAACCCCTAGGCCAGCTGTGCTCTTCCGCATAGCATATCTGCATTCCTAGCCCTGGTGCCTATATTCGGAGGCCTTCTTTCTGGAGGCCCTTAACCATGGCCTTTTTTAAAATGCCTCTGTCAAGGCCATCTTAGGAGGGCCTTGAAGACTCCTTTCTTCACTCTGATTCAGTATTCAGTACTTTTCTGCTCCTAGCCCTTTCTCCTTTCCCTCCCCCTGGCTTACTATTCCTCACCAAAATGGGAATTCTCTTTTCTAGATTGTGTGTGCCTGTATGTGTGTTTTTTTTCCCCCTGAATGACAAAGTGATGATTGTTTCATTCTTTTTTTTTTTAATAAAGATTTTTATTTATTTATTTGACAGAGAGACAGCGAGAACAGGAACACAAGCAGGGGGAGTGGGAGAGGGAGAAGCAGGCTTCCTGCCGAGCAGGGAGCCCGATGCGGGGCTTGATCCCAGGACCCTGGGACTATGACCTGAGCCGAAGGCAGACGCTTAATGACTGAACCACCCAGGCGCCCCCGATAGTTTCATTCTTACTTTACATCTTGACCCACACTGACCCAGATAATTTAATGATTTTGGTAGTATATTTAGTGATTATTAATTTATTTTGCAAGGTAGCTATTATCATAGAAAACTTAATGAACTCTTACCCAGGAATAAAAGGCACTGCAGTGAGTATAACAGTTGACTGTCATTGTAGTTATAAATACGAATTAACTTATACTCTTCGAAATTTTTTTAAGTTGCTATCAATTGCATTTGAATGGTCATATTTAAGAAGGTGCATTACTTATGTTCAGTTATTTCTGTTTCCAACTTACGGAAAATATAATACTGAAATCATGTTTTTATACAGTTTCTAATATTTTCAGTTCTCTGATACAAATGGCAGTTGTTTCTAGATATACAAAAATATCTAATATCTTTTATAACTATCTAGAATAGTATTGTCACCATTTTTGCCATCATCTTTAAGGTCATTGTTGCAGAAATTTTCTGTTGCTTTCTTTCCAATGAATATTTGGTACCTGGTTAAATCATATGGAATTGCCAACATTTGATCTAGAAAATGGCAAGTTCATATGATTCAACTGAATTTGTTGTTGTTTATCTATGTTCTCTATGCATATGAAATATTTAGCATTATAATGTGTCTACCTGAAATACTGCCTTAATTCACATTATTTTCATTGCAGGCGGGCAGTGTGACACCTAAGTCACCCTCCACTGACATCTTTGATATGATACCATTTTCTCCAATATCACACCCAGCTTCGATGCCTGCTCGCAACGGCACACAGCCACCTCCAATACCTAGTAGATCTACTGAGATTAGTAAGCCTTCTAAACCAATATTCTTTGCTATATTTGTGTAGATTTTAAATGTTTAATTGACACTTTATGGAAAATTACATATCTTAAGTTCACTAAAAGTGTTAATTACCAAAGAATTATGTCTACTTGTGCCGAATTAGCTAATCATATTTAACTTTATAATTCAGAGTATACTACTAAAGACATCACTATTGCATTTGAAACTATTTTATGAAAAATGATATTTTTGGTATAGGGTTATTTATATCAATACAAAGCATTTAATTATATTTTATTGTACTTGGGGTTATACTTTTAATGTTTTAATGGTTAAAAACAACTTGGTGGTAATTATTTTAATATTTTTGACATGTTTAGTAGAGCTCAGTGTAAATTTTTTGTTACCATAGAGTATAGGAATATTCTTAAAGAAATACATAAATATATGAATTCCATGATTCATTTATTTATTAATCCTATATAAGTGTTCTATACATGCATCGCTTTTCTGATTTACCTTCTATACATTTGGAAGGAACATAAGAGTCTCTTACTGATGAATTGGAAAGCAACCAACAGATGCTCATTTTCAATGTCGTGATTGTATTTTGATCTGTGCCCTGTCACAGAAACTTAAAGAGTAGTTCCCAATGGCCATGCTCAGTCATTATGTCCAAAGGAAACTGAAGAAAAGAGTTTTACACCAGTTCATAGACCCTGATTCGTAGACCCCAGAGAAGAATGTTTAAGACACATAAATGTGGTTCACATTAAGACATTTTCAATATAACTCTTAAGTTTTAGCTTGGGCTTAAAGTATGTCAGGGCCTTTAATTTATTTGTTTCCCCCTATGGAACTTATCAAAATATATTACACATGTTAGATATTCAATAAATTTTAGAGAATTAATTTGTAAATGCAAAGTAATAATCTTAGAAACTTTAAAAATCATTTTACAAAAATATATCAGTACTTTTACATAAATTGAAATATATATTTAAATTCCTCTGAATATATTTTGTACCAATGCAAAATATTTTTTCAGGAAATAATCTATAATATATATGCCACAGTGTGTTTTTAGCAAATGTTGCCAATATCCTGATACATATGGGGCATTTTTTTTGTCTATGAGTATCCCACATCTCTTCCTTTACTGTTTTTTAATTCCTTGGACTTAACCACTGGTTTACTCATTCATTTATTTAGTCCAATGGGCATTTGTATAGCATATATGCTAGACTTGGGTTACAAGCTGGAATTTGAAATATAAATTAGCTATATATCTACAAAAGAGGATTTTAATCAAAGTCAAAATAGAAATTGAGAAGAGTGAATAGATTTGAAAATATTTAGAAAGAATAATCTATCAGGATGGTGATTGAGAGTTCATAATCAATTATGACTCAGGATTTTAGACTGAATGTTGTTAACAGGAAAAACTAGAGGTAGAAAAGGTGGAAATGCATTCCGTTTTAGACATTGATAAATTTGATACGCTTTTAGAAAATCTAGGCAAAGGTGCTCAGATAGTTTTAAGGAATTTTTTAATGAGAAACTGAAGTTAACACCTTGCTACATTTTTTAGTATCTAATGATCCTGAGTGCCAAAGTTTAGTAAATACAATGAAAGATAGATGATGATAGATAGATAGATAGATAGATAGATAGATAGATAGATAGATAGAATTCTAGATACCCCATACCATGTCTGTCTATCTTTATAGCAAATGCTATTGGAAAAATGGTACAGACAGACTTACTTGATACAGAATTGCCACAAATCTTTTTAATTTGTAAAAAACCACAGTATCTGTGAAGCACTGTAAAGCAAAGCGCAATAAAATGAGATAAGCCTGTAATGAAAATCTCTATTCCTCTTGATCAGCTCTTCTTCCTTTTCATTAATTCATTTCTTTTTTTTAAGATTTTATTTATTTATTTGACAGAAAGAGAGAGAGCGAGAGCAGGAACACAAGCAGGGGGAGTGGGAGAGGGAGAAGCAGGCTTCCCGCCGAGCGGGGAGCCCAATGTGGGTCTCGATCCCAGGACCCTGGGATCATGACCTGAGCCAAAAGCAGACGCTTAATGACTGAGCCACCCAGGCGCCCTCATTAATTCATTTCTTTTCACAAACATCTATCATGTGTAAAGCATTGTTGGACAGGCTTGTGGTATGGTGGTAACCAGGGCACTCCTCCAAAGAAAAGTTCCTTTGTTCTCCAAGTTCTGATTTATTGCCTAAGCTACATCAGACTGAGGAAAATAACAACAGTAATAATAACACCCATACCCATATATAATACCTATATATATTATATCATATATATAATATTCATATATAAGGTGACAATAAATTCCCATTTGTTTAGGACAGTTCTGGTTTATACCTTTTGTCCTGCTGTAACTGTTGGTAGCATTCCTTTTACTCTTAAAAGTGTCTTTATTTGGATGATAAAGTATATGTCCCTCTTATAAGTTATACAATACTTATCAGCACCAGGAACTTATAAAAATTTTTACTTATTTAATACGTGAATTTGAAAAAAACAGTTATAACTGGAAAAGCAAGAGTCTTTCATAATGAGGGTCACAGATTAATTTACATGATATGGTAGAACTCAAGGAACATAAATATTACTTCTTATATAGCATGGAATTTTGAGGATATAGTTTTTCTTAATATATTATAAATTCCCATGCACCTATATAATTTTAAAAAATTGTGTGCATTAAGGCTGCATTGGAATTGATTCAGAAGAAAGAAATTTCATAATTTTTAAATTTTTAAATAATAGGCCATAGTTTTACCAATTTTAACTTTGATCCTTTTTAGTGGTTAAAAAAGTATGTACTTTAGAATATATGTTACAGAGACCTTTTTGATATTCCATTATTGCTATTTTTAAAAAGAAATTTGTTTCTGGGATAGGAGACATTTTTAAAGAACCTGTCCCATTGTGTTTATTTAGGAAGGTGATATAATTTCATAGTACATGAGACAATATGCCTTAAATTTTCTCTAAATAAATGTGAGATTAAGGTATAATGAGCTATGAGTAAAACTATTTACCAATCTACCTCAGTCCCTCATATTGCTTCATGATCTGTTGTGTTACAAAGGCATCAGTAAAGGGAATAGAGAAGTCTCAATAAGTAATACATTCATTGTGGTAAATTTAAACTGCTTCAGTAAAAATGCAGGTATTGTAATACGGTAATTTCAAATATTTGGTGGATTTGATATTGAGAAGTCTTAATTAAAGACACAGAAATCTCTCTGGGTAATAATTCCTTGAAACCAGACAGTTTTTAATATTGTCATAAAATGGGTCTTTGCTTCTTTGTTGGTCTAAGCTCAGGAAAGCCCAGCATAAAGTGTGCGTGGATAGGAGCTCATTTGGCCATATGAGTAGTTCTTTATATAATCTTGCCTTGGAAACCTAACTCACCCCAACTCACTTCTTGTCATTTCATTTACTAAATTATTTTCCTCCTTTTAGAACGGGACCTGTTTGGAGCAGAACCTTTTGACCCATTTAACTGTGGAGCAGGGGATTTTCCTCCAGATATTCAATCAAAATTAGATGAAATGCAGGTGACTATTTTAACAGATTGGCCTATAAATGGTTTATTTCTTTTTAATATGGGACACAAAAAATGGACACAAAGAAATTTGGACACACCAAAACTACCCTTTCCTTGAATTATTATCACTATAAAAACCTACTTGAAACAATTGCTTTAAAATATTCATATACATTTAGTCCTAAAAATACTCCTACGCGTGCTAAGGATGGGTCTTATTTTGTTTTGTTTTGTTTTTAGTAGTGTGATTTACCATGGCAATAAGTTGGTTCTTTTTTTATACAAAATTACACAGATTCTAATGGTTCATTACTTTGAAATCCAAAAATTACAAGGTAATTTCACTAGGTTTACAAGATTTCATCTCAGTTTTACCAGTTATGAAGTTCAAATTGTGAATGGGTAAATGAAGGAACATCTTTGTGAGAGGAAAATCAGTCTCTTTTAAGAGAGGCATGGTAGCTGTGGTTCCTAACTTCTGGACTCTTTTTGGAAAAGCAGGCACCCAGTGACACCTTCTTTAGTAATGTAGTCCAGGTGGGTTTTCACTTCTCTCTCCCTCTTTTATTTTTCAATTCTCAATTGTACTGGAAGTTTGGAGATACTGGTTTCTTTTTACAGTGGGCCGTGATTAATAAATGGTCTTAAAAGCACCAGAAAAAAAAAATCTTCTCTTTATATTTGCCCTTTACATTTTGGTGAAGTTAATATATCTTATTTTTTATCTAAAAGACTATTTATATGGTAGAATGTAGGCAAAGACCAATTATAGGAAGCTGATTGAGAAGAGGCAGCGAAGAGAAGGAGTCATTCCCGTTTATTAGGTGATTCGTTCTCTGTGCTTCATTTCCTGGACAAAACAATTAATAGTGGATTCTGATCTTCTAATACTGGTGAAACACCCCTTCCTAGAAAGATAATATAAATATCCTTCCACTCGTTTTGGACTACAGCTGTGAAGCAGTTGTCTTCTTTTCTAGGTATTCTGTGAATTTCCTTATTGTTCTAGATATAATAATGCCTGCATCTTAACAGTTGGATTATTTGACATACGCCTTGAGATTTTCAAAGAATATGTTCAAACAGCATTTCTCAAGCTGGGTGATTGATAATTTTCTTTTACATGAAAAAATTATTTTAAATCCTTTATATTGACTTAAATTGTAACACTTCTTAAATATTTACCAAAAAAGTTATAAATAACTTAGCCTTACAGCTCCTGTACAACTATTAATTCAAAAATTATAAATTAAATGAAAGCAAAATTACAATACCTAATAAAATTCAAATTAAGAACTTCAACACGATGGGTGATGTTATTTGGCCAAAACCAAAACCACCGATGTCAAACTTCTCTTGATTTCAGCATGTATCCTGTTTGGTGGTACAATTTCTCTACCTCTTTTCTATATTTCAAATACTATGAAATACTTTCACTCAAACAGTGCATGATTACTTAGCAAGAATATCTATTTCATATGAAATCAATCCCTTCCTTTTTTATTAGTTTTACCAATTAGGTTTGTGCTCCTTAGGATTAATGCTTTTATAAGAACAAACACAAACATGGACACTGATGTGGTGGTGTTTGTTCTCAAGCATTATGCAAATCACAAAGAGTACTTTTCTATTAATGTTTTTTTAATTTTCACAAGACTGAAAAAATTTCTATAGATTTTTAAAAATAAACCTACGTTTGCAGATTTTTGTAGGAACTAACTTTGAGAGACACTGTATTGGAATGATTTAGTGATGTGTTAAATAATGTTAAGCTGTGGTATTTTTGCTTCTGTTTTTGTTTTTGCCATTTCTAATATTTTCTTAATGTCTTTTTTATTCTTTTCTGCTTTCATGGTGGGTAGCGCCAGAGATGGTTGGTATATTATTTTCATAATAATTTTAAATAACTTACAACTTCTTAAAGCTAAAACCTTAATATTTGCATGCTCTACTTAATAAATATTCAAGCAGCAGTTTCATATGGATGTTTCTGATTGTTGTGTTTAAAGAGGTTTTATAACCTGTATTTTAAAGTTATTTTTTTCAATGGTGTAGTCTCTATTGCATTATCCACCTCATTGCTTGTCTGATTTTTTTGTTTTGTTTTTTTAGTTCAAGATTTACTTGCAAGGTCACTTTAACTAAAGTAAAATAATATTTTCTTCATCTAAAGCCTGTGACAACTTTTGTTATTAATCTTGTTAGCCTAATTAAGCTAATGCACACTTTGGGCTACTATTTTTATCTTTGTATATAATGTAAAAACAGTACAGTACAGTGGGTTGTATAAATAACATTGAGTTAATACGCCTAGTGAGATATTTGGGTTTTCTCTTTCACTTACAGAGGAAATCACAAAAGTATCTTGTGCGCCTCAGAATTTAAGCAGAAATGTGAAGTCGCATTGTACTATAAATTGTTAGAAAATTAAATATTTATTTGAACTCAATAATGTGGTTATTTAATTTGACATAATTTGAACTTCCTGGGACTTGTCACTGACAGGCAAATCAGTAAAAGAGTATCGACAGCCTAGAAGTGTACCTTCTAAGTTATAATAATTTAATACCTTTAAAAAGGAGCTTGGCAAGAAAGATGGAAGAATTTTGCATGCAGGGATGTTAAGTCAGCTGGTTCAATAATTTGGTAGAAGATCAATGCACCGCTGTAACTACAATAAATATCCAAGTAAATTTCAGAAAGATTAGTCAGTTTAAAAAAATGTTTGAAAATACAATTGAGTATTTATCAGACTTTTGAATTGGAAAGAAATTTTTATAAGGAAAAGAAAAATATGTAGTTTTATAGTTTCTTGTAATTTTTTCTTTTCTCTTTAAAAAATATAAAATATATCACATATACATAATTAAGGTAAGTAGACCAATAATTAGATAACTTAACAATCAGATAAATAAAAACCTAGCAGTTCACAAAAGACCATGGTTTTTATGCATGTAGCAATCTAACCAAAGAATATCTACAAATTAAATAAAGAATTAGAAATGCTGTTTTAATCAAGCAAATCAAACATTTTATTTCCTTGCTAATAATCAGTACAAGTGAAAGTATGATGAGACAAGCCCTCTAACTCATTGCTGGGCCAAGGTGAGTTCATAGCATCCCTTCGGAGAGTAATTTGTTAGTAAACCTTATATTTTTATTTGAAATCAGAAACTTTAATGCGATCTGTTCTGAGAAAAAAAATGACTAAAAATGTGGAAAATTTCTGTGGGCAAAAGCTTCTAGTTAACTTTTTTCATAATTATAAAATACTGGAAACAGTTAAATCACATTAAAAATAATAGATTGGTGGTTGCCAGAAGGAAGAGAAGTGAAGAGATGGGATTAAGAGGTACAAACTTCCAGTTATAAAGTAAATAAGTCACAAGGATGAAAAGTATAGGGAATATAGTCAATAATATTATAATGACTTTTTATGGTGACAGATGGTAACTACATGTATTGTGGGGACATTTTATAATGTATATAAATATTGAATCACTATGTTATATACCCGAAACTAACATAATAATTTTGAATCAACTATACTTGAACTTTTAAAAAAATTAATAGAATATTATATAATCATTAAATTAGTTTTATGGGGACCCAATAGGGAATGTTTGTTCCACTAAGTTTTAAAAAGAATATAGAAAATTTTATATATGAAATACATAAGTTATGTATGCTATATGGTTTTTATGTTATTATTAAAATTGTTTTAAAAAATCTAGAGATAGAAAAAAAGGAGACTCAAAGGACATACCTCAGTGTGTGAACAATTCTTGCAGAAGACTGGCTTTTCCTTGACATAATTCTCTCCCTATTTCAAAATAAGAAAATGCAACGGGGCAACATATTTCATACGAAAAGCTTATTATTAGTAATATGTTAATAATAAAGTTATCATTTGCATGATACTAGCTTATGATCACTTCCACCACTATATAAGTTAAATAAAGCCTGATTTTCATTCCGAGTTTTAAAATTCAAGAGGATATGGAAACCTGAGAAAGATTCACTGATCATTAAATCATGATTTACTAAATGAGACCTAGGAGGAAAGGTCAGAAACTGTGTGAGAAATTTTATATTAGGAGTAAAGAAAACCAAGGAGAGAGAGAATATTATGTGTCTGTTAATAGGGATGATTAAAGTAATTGAAGGAGACTCCAAAGGGATCCTTATAAAATCACTATGGAGATATTCTTGTAAATGATATACATTTTTTTTTATTGTTGAAATAGTGACCGATCCCTATTTTCCTATGATTGCTATTCTGCCGTTCAAACACAAACACATTGATAAATAGTATTTTCAGGGTAGTTGAAATGATAGTGGTTTCATTTCAGAATGAACTGAGTAAAATTTTAAAATACTGTAGAGTATCAAACCTTTCCCAGTTATTATATATACTATCTATCTATCATCTATCTATCATCTATCATCTGTCATCTATCTTTCTATCTGTCTATCATCTATCTATCTATCTATCTATCTATCTATCTATCTATCTGATGTGCCAGAAGATGATATAGTACACAGATCCTCACATATCCAAATAAAATATTTATATGAAACAGTTCATTTACACTCTCTTTAGCTTTAAGTATTGATTTCTCTAAGTATCTGGCAACTGTTTAAAATAATATGCATAGATATGACAAAGTATTTCTTCTTGTGATAAAACAGGCTTTAAAAAAATAATGGCAAGTACTCTGGCTTTTACTCAACTGACTATAATTTGGATTCTAAGTGCTGAGAAGAAGTTTTGGAAAATCTTTGCAGCGGCGGCATTGCCCCGTGGTCTCTCTGCTGTAGATACAGTGAAGAACACTCTGAATGTTGAGAGCAAATGAGGTGTGGCTTGCAGTGTCATGCTTTTCTCCCTCTCTGTGATCATGTTTACACTGGATCTGTAATAAGGACATTTAGATACCTGTGGTAAACAAAAGTAATTTGGGGGAAGGCAAAGAAATACACAATTGGCTAACACACCAGTAGATTCAGTTTAATGAAATAAAATGCAAAGGAGAACAGAGGACAAAAGCCTTCTCACTGAGAGACATTTTATTTTCTGCAGGAATAGGCTGTTTACATTTCACTCACCAATAATGTGTCACATAGTCACCCCTTACTACACCTTACCTCCTTCAACAAAATTTCAGTTCTGTCAGTAAGAGAGAAAGGTAAAGTATATATATATATATATATGTATAGGAACTGCCACAGTGCTTCTAGGAGGAAACCTAAAATGTGACCCCCAGGTCCTCTGATTAATGTGAGTCCATGCTCTTGATCTCTTCGTGGCACGCCAGTGTGCATAGATTACGGGCAAGAGTGGGGAGGGAGGAGGTGGTAAACCTGGAGATAGCCCATTACCTTATGCAAAAAAGAAGAGAGCTCGGAGCGGAGGACAAACTTTTTTTTTTTTTTTAAAGATTTTTTATTTATTTATTCGACAGAGAGAGAGATAGCGAGAGCAGGAACACAAGCAAGGGGAGTGGGAGAGGGAGAAGCAGGCCTCCCGCTGAGCAGGGAGTCTGATGCGGGGCTCGATCCCAGGACCCTGGGATCATGACCTGAACCGAAGGCAGACGCTCAACGACTGAGCCACCCAGGCACCCTGCCACTAACTTTTAGCTCAAAATCTTAGGGCACTTGTGATGAGCACTGGGTGTTGTAAGTCAGTGATGAATCACTAAATCCTCCATGTGAAACAAATACTACACTGTACGTTAACTCGCTGGAATTAAACAAAAACTTGGGAAAAAAAATCTTAGGAGGAAGAGATTGCGTACTTGCTCTCAATAAATCAAAGGCAACTTAACTTCCAGAAACATCTAAACCCTGCTAGGAGGAGTGGGACTCAAAGCAAAGCTTACAGCTACAAGCAATAGCAGGACTAGAGGAAGCCTTCTCCGTGACAAAGTGGTCTGCAGTTCTGTGTTCCACGTAGGATATGGCATTGCGCTTACTATTAAGTGTTCTACCCAGGCCCTGGACAGGGGTGAAAACTATCAGGCTATCTCAAACTTTTCATCAAATTTGAGGTCTAGCTATCTTACTCACATTTAAATGAATATTGATCCTGAAAGCCAACAGAGGAGATGTAAGCTACAGTAGAATGGCAGAATAGATTTTACTGAAAAAGAAACATTTAAGTCTTAAACAACTTAATTCCGTGTATTTCTGTCTTCTTTTGTCTTTCGTGCGTGCTAACGTCACATATATTTACAACATTTCAACTGCTAATCGGTGTAAACAATTACCTGAGATACACACCGATATAAAAATTTGACAAACCAGCATTTGCCATATTGTTCCTTAGCTGATCAAAGCATGAAGATCTCAACTTCCGTTCAGTCATTTTATTTCATGATTGTCATCGTTATTATCATTATTATTATTGCCATGAGCATTTCTTATTTTAATGATTTTACTCTGTTTTACAGGAGGGGTTCAAAATGGGACTAACTCTTGAAGGCACAGTATTTTGTCTCGACCCATTAGACAGCAGGTGCTGATGTCAAGAACAAAAGATCCAGATTTGTGTTAAATTTGTTGTATATGCATATACATCATTCCTTATTACTTTATGACAGGTAGTATATGTGTGCCAATATATTTTTGAAGATCTTAATTTTTTGCAAATTATTTTAGTAAAGTGTCCTTCGCTATTGATCTATAATGTTTATTTTAAAAACAACTCACTGTATAGTAAATCATACTTTTATGTTCCTTTCTGTTTCTCTTGTAGATGACTTTATAATCAAAAAACAAATTATCCAAATATCTGTCTTGTGTCTGAGTTCTGAATAATTAGCATCTTGAAATTCGTGCTCATTTTCCAGGCTGCTAGTTTATTATTGATTCCCGAAAGCCATACCTTGATGATACCTTTCAAAGTCTTGAGGCGATATACCAATGCCAAACTAAATATGTTCTGTATTCAAACCAATAAGCATGTTAGCATCCATTAGACAGATGTTATTTTATGTGTTAAATGTTGTTCATATCATTGGCAAAATGTAGACTTTGACTATAATGCCACTAGGTCATTTTTAGCAGGTAAAATAGCAAAAATATAATTTCCAATAATAATTAAACCAAATAATTAGAGTATTTATTAGTAAAAGCAAAGTAATAATGTTAGCTATTATTATCATTTATACTCTAAATCTTTTATTTATTTCATAAATAAGGATAATGGAAAAAAACAAAAATCTGCTCATTCCAAAACACTTAAAATTTAATTTCTAATGAGATAAGTTATATTGCTAAACATCTAAACATCATCTGATCTAATATTTTCTAAAAAAAAAATTTGGAATATATGCTGTCTATAGTTGCAATATCTATTACACACATTTACTTTACCAAATATATTTTTTCTCACTGAATGATATTATTCTCATATTTTCTCCTTTGGTAAATATTTTCCCACCAAATTTTATTTTGTGATGCCCCCTTAGTTTTGATACTTTAAAATCTGTAACAGTTATCCTTTATGAATCATCGGTATTGTTTAGCAATTTTAATTTGTATTTGTTTTTGTTGAAGTCAGAATCTCATTCTTTACAAAAATCAAGTGGCTTCTCAGTTTGGGCTAACATGAACTATAAAATTTTCTTGTACTTAATTCATAATGTGCTATGAACTCCGACCTTTAAAAATGTTTATTTTTCTACCTTTGCCCATATGTAACAGACTTTAATTTGTACTCAGTGCAAGAGAATTTATGGTTAAAATTTATAATTTGGTTCATTGCATCATAAGAAAAATAGATTAAATTAATGAAAATGTGAGTTTAGATTAGGGGTAGATCTCAAAATAGATTTTTCTTTTTCTCATGGGAATTTTTGTCAAGTGCTAAAGGTACATATTCACTGGGAAAAGAAATCAAATATGCTTATGCAATATTATCTTTGTATGTATCTTCATAATGTTCTATGGTATATATAAGCCTTCTTAGGTGTTTTCTGTTATCTGCTAAGTTGTACGTTAATTAGAGGTTAGTATGTTTCATAAAGAAGAATCTTTATAATTTTGTTTGTCATATAGTATTTTGGAATTTGTATAATGAGGATGTTTAGAAGCCATATGAATGGCTTTTTTTTAACAGATAGAATTTGTATTTTTATTGTACTTTAAAAGCTTTATGTAATAGGTATATATTTAGTGGCCATTTATTACCAATGGTAACACAGTAGAGTACTAAGATGGTATTTGCACACTTAAGATATGTTACTTTACCAATTTTTAATGGTAATCAGTTCTGCTACTGGCATGACTAAATAGTACATAATTGGTCATTAATTATGAACATTTATTTCACCAGTGCATTTTTATGAAGATCCAGTTGAAAATGGTATTTCTATGTAAACTCAGTGATATGTTTGATTTTGCTGAGAATAAATGATTTTAAATAAATAATTGTATATTTACTCATTAAATAATCTCTGATTAAGTTAGAAACATTCTGAAGCTAATTACATGACAAGGTTTCCAGGTCAAAGAATGAGGCCTAAGAGTGGAAGGAAGGAAGGAAGGAAAAAAGGAAGAAAGGAAGGAAAGAAAGAAAGGAGGGAGGAAAGGAGAGAGGAGGGGAGGAAGGGAGGGGAAAAGAATTAATGAGCTTTACCTTTAACTTCATTTCTTATAGCCCACACACATTTTAGCTTTATAAGCAAATATCATTCAGTTGTGAAAACAGTGGACTTGATCCTGCTGGTGAGAGAGGTCATAATTTTGTTCCTTTCAAGAAGCGCCTGGTACAATAACTGTATTATATAAACAACTCTTTTCAAAATTGAGAGGCTTTTTAGCGTAGTAATAATATAAAGGATTTCTTGGTAGATAGTCTTTAAAAGGTAGACTTGATAGTAAGATTTGAGTTGTGGCTTATTGGAATATCATAACATTTTGAACCTTTTGAAAACAAAATATTAAGTATTTTAAAGATTCACAGGACTCACATGTACGTTCTTTGCACACCAGTGAACAATTCATCAACCCATTCAATAAAGTTCATTTATTACTCACTTTACGTGATAACGTATAGTATGTGGTTAAGAGAACATCTAGTAAGTTTGCTTACTTAACATTGTTAAATTGAAGATGACCAGTTTCCTGCCTTCGGTTAGTTTATTGTCATAAAGGAAAAGTAAGGCAATATATGAATTAATAGGTGAAAACCAGTATGTTCTAAAGTACCGTGTGAACCAAAAACTTCCCAGAAGACGTTTATATTTAACTATGTTTAAATGTGGGCACCCAGCACTGGCTAGTGTCTAGTGTTAGATATCCACTGTGAGACTATCAAGACAGTCCAAAGGCAATAATTTTCTCTTCTTATTTCTTTCATTTGGGATTTGGATTTTTTTTTCAAAAAATTTTGGTTACATTATGGGAATTTATTTTTCAGATAGAATTTCTGATAGATTTTACATTGTTGCATTTCTGAATATTTTTTTTTACTTTTTGATATTACTTAACATAACCATGAAAAAAACTAGCTGCTAATATTTTTCTGTTCCAGTGTTTCCATATATAGTTCCAAATTCAATATTTATTCATGATTTTGGATTTCAACCTCTGTTAAATTAGTTGGAGAATCTTGGACTCAATTTTGACTAATAAATCTCAGACTCCACCTAAACTACACCCTTTCTAGGTGGCTAGCCCACTGCTGAGATGGGCGTGGCTAGAATTGCCCTCAGATCCCCCGATCTCATGCAGGAAGGGCCTAACTTGTGTCCTCTTCTTCCTAGATAAGCTCAGATAAATTTCTCAAGAACTTCCTCCTTCAATGTCCATCTCATAAATGGGACAAAACCTTAATTCTTATATACTTGCTCCATGTCTTGATCTTACGTTGTTAAGGACCAAATGTAACTCACTTCTAGAAATTCCTCATATAAAACTTTATTTTCTCTGGATTCATCCAAAATGGATTTCCTTACTCTAATAAGGAGACCACCTAAAATAATTTATGGTCTTCTATGTCCTTGCTTTCAAGTAAATTTTTTATGAAATATGGATATTATTTAAATAGCAGAAGACATTACATTTCTTTGGATTCATTTCCTTCCCCTTCGGTTCATGGATTCCAAGACAGAGTACTTCCTAAATCATACTTAAATAATATGCAAAATATGGCATACTTAAGGAATTGAGCTTAAAGTCTCATTTTAAATTTTTCTGACATTACATGATAAATTGAAATAGTGGAATTTCTATATCATTAACATTGAGGTTTGTGTCACTTAATAGTACCACCATAACTGTATAACTAAAAATTTGGAAAAATTTACTATTTCTCTTTCCTCCATTTTTGGCATTCATTCAGATGCATACTCAAAATTCATCGGGTCAAAGTGTTCCAGTTTACATACAAATCTATAGGTACTTTGGAATATGCATGGAGGCTTTTAAATATTGCTGTTCTCATTAAAGAAAACCTGGCTAGAAGCTGTAGGAGTTACCTTCTTACACAACGGACCTAATTAAGTTCTTTATTAGAGGACATTCTGATATCCTACAACATTTTCTTGATAATTTGTACTTTCTTGAATTATCATTAATATATTTTGCAAAAATATATAAAATACTGTTTTGGAAAATCTTTTAAAAATATTTTAATAAAGTTTTTTTTAACTTTTCTATTTATTCTCCAAAAATCTTGAAGAAAAGTTTGCTTTGACATTTTTATATCCTGTGGTGCCAAACACAACATTTTGTCCATAAGCATTCAGTAAAGGTTGAATGCTTCTTTAGCATGCTTCTTGCTAATGATGTGAGCTAAAACGTCTTATGCTCTCTGGGAGAGAAAAGAACAACATGCCTTCCAAGTGAATGTTAGAACATAATCACTTTGTTCTCTCTGATGAAATCTTTTCCTATGATTTTAATTTTTATCTCGCTGCAGCAATAATTTGCTAAATAAAGATCTTGACAATTCTCTAAGAGCATCTACAACCACTATAGAATCATAGACTAAGGAAATTTGGCCCAACTGAGGGAGGGAAAACAAATGACTACCGAGTTTTCAAAGAGGCTGTGAAGATTTATAAAGATGAATATTCTATAATTAAGAGACATTCCTTGCACTGCAGGGACTGGAGAACTGTATTTTTGGAGCATGTGTATTAACTCCTACTGTATCTTTCCTTGAATTCCATATTGTGGTTACACCGTTTTCATTGGTTTTAAATATTTTTAAGCTCACTTATTTGTCCTTAATTTTTATTGTCCTCTTACTTCAAATGACATTTCGCAAGAACATGTTGGGGCCCTTCCCAGTTGACTACTCCCTCCTCTCTGTCTGGCCAGGCTGCTATGTTCTAGTCTGTTCCAAAGGTCACTTGTTCCAGTTGAAATAGCTGTCTGGATGGCCTGGAAATAATCCAGAGACTGGTTCTTTCCTGCAAAGAAAGCAAAGAAAGATGTTTGTTTCTTGGCTACATTTTGAAAGGAAAAAAATAAAAGAATTTTATGACTAAGTCTACTAATAGCTGAAAAAAAATTAATATAACTCTGGGACAAATTTAAAATTATTATTTTTCAAAGCTTTGTGTCATTTTGCCTTTTTGTATAATTCTTAAAATCAGTTTACTATCAAAATCATTAAATAATCAGTATTAGGTAGCTAAGTATATCTAAGAAGTGTGTGCTGAGAAATTTTGGCAAAGATTCAGCATATACTGATTTCTCTCACAGACAAATGCAAATACACACACTCATGCTTCATTTAGCAATTCAGTTCTTCATTTATTTTATTCTTGGTAACTGCTTTAATTGAAAAAAAAGCAGCTTAGGTTATGCTAGACAGTACAGGGAGTGGGAGGAGACAGGTAATGAAGGGACAGTCTTAAATATTCAGAGATATCAGCTAACCCACACGTGGACAAGTGGCTATGCACAGATACTTGACCTGTTCATTTTTCAGACAATTTGGACCATGTGTAGGCTAGAGAGTAATAAGTATGATGCAATTATGCAACAAGCTGTTTCTACAGTGATTCCTCTTTAATTTCCTTTAGTTCTTTGGTAATGCCTGCAGTTTTCATCTTTTCGACATAAAAGGAATTAAAGGAAAATACCTGAAAATAAGCTGGCCAATTGTTTCATTACTTCCTGCCATCTATGGCGATTAGAAAAACATTTTTTTTAAGATTTTATTTATTTTTTAACAGAGAGAGAGACAGCGAGAAAGGGAACACAAGCAGGGGGAGTGGGAGAGGGAGAAGCAGGCTTCCCGCTGAGCAGGGAGCCCGATGTGGGACTCGATCCCAGGACCCTGGGATCATGACCTGAGCTGAAGGCAGATGCTTAACGACTGAGCCACCCAGGCGCCCTAGAAAAACAAATATTACTTAGAATCACTTGAGTTTGAAAATTTCTAAACCATAGCTTATTTGAATGATTACGTAGTTTTTAATAAGATTACTTAAACTATTTGCCCTAGAACATCTCAGTCTGATCTATAGAGAATCACTGAACTAGGATTTTAAACTTCATACTTTGATGTTACAGTTACAGTTATAGCTCTGATCTGAGCTTTGACTTTGGGAGAGTCCCGTAATGGGGTTCATGAAGTTCATGAACATTAGCTATTCTTGGCATAAAAAAGAAACAAAGTCCTCCAAACTAACCAAAAAATGTCACAGAAACCACATATTTCATCTTTTATTTACATACTAGTTTATTAGCACCACGCTCTAACCAACTGAGCTAACTGGCCCGCTTATTTACATACTAGTTTAAATAAATACTGAATCAATGTCTCCTAGGTAGTGCATCTGGCTGGCAACAGTCTCATAAAAGGGGACAGCAAAGACCACAAAACTGTCCCAGCCTTTGTATCTGTTTATAATCTTAAAATTTGTATACAGAATTCTGTCCTTTTAATAAAGTTGGATGCAAGCATGATTCTAAGATTCCTTCTCAACCTTTCCTACTCCTCAGGACACATTAAAAGACAGATCTAAGTGCATAGTTACACTGGAGAAATGGGGCCTATGGTTCTCTTCAAAAGCATCAATGGCTTGCCAAATTTTCAGGATAACTTCAAGATAAATGTTGCATGTCTCAAAGGAATTCAGGGACTCTCCTCTTTCCAAGTAAACATTAAACTTTGAAAACGCCAACAAAGAAATGTTGAAAAATATATGCTACTACTACATTGAAATACCAAAACACAAGGTTTTTGTTTTGCTTTGTAGGGAAATATTTCTTTTTTTTTTTTTTAGGATTACTTTTTAAAAAATTTTATTATGTTAATCACCATACATTACATCATTAGTTTTTGATGTAGTGTTCCATGATTCATTGTTTGCGTATAACACCCAGTGCTCCATGCAGAACGTGCCCTCTTTAATACCCATCACCAGGCTAACCCATCCTCCCACCCACCTCCCCTCTAGAACCCTGTT